AAAAAAAAAAAAAAAAAAAAAAGGATTTCAGGGGTGACCTTGGAAGGACTCCCATCACTTTCCTTGTCCTATACCGTCCTTCCACAAAACCAAAACGCAGACTTCTGGAGCTGAAAAAACTTACTGGATCAGTCTAACCTTTGATGTTTCTTGTAAGGTCTCCAAAAGCAGAGCCATCAGTGGCCTCCAGACCCCTGGTCCTAGGTTTTATCCCCATAACTCAAGTTCTTCTCCTGTAGAACCTAAGCCATCCCCGTGAGTTTCTCCCTGGCTGCCACGTTGGGATTGGCTGCTCAAGGCCACGGTGGTATTCCTGAGGAATGGCTGGACTCAGGCTGCAAAATCGACACTCCCACTCCTCAGCAGACACTATTCACAACAGGAACCCACGTGAGCAAGAAAGGGGGTGTAGCCGGGAGGAACGTTCCTACGGGAAGCGGTGTAGCCAGGAGGAACGTTCCTACGGGAAGAGGTGTAGCCGGGAGGAACGTTCAGAGCGCGCCCTCGAGTGCACCCCTGTGTGCGTCTGACCCTGGCAAGCCTTCCTCTCTCTTACTGTGTTCCGGTTCATTCTTCCTGTACACCAGGTAGATGATATCCCCACTCTGTAAAGGGCACGTCTGCTTCTTCACAACTTTCAGCTTGTTAATCACTGTTCCGTTGGTGCTGTAAAAAAACAAAAACACAATTTATTCTACTTAAAGTAACTTGGAGTTACAAGATTTTTTTTCTAGCACCATCAGCAAAGCAGCTCAATACGACCATTCTGGAAATACTTGTAGGAACGGCATAAATATGTAACATCGCACACATCCGTGCACCCCTCACCATTCTCTCGAGAAATGGCTCACCCACTTCTCCCTGACTGACAGCCTAACCAGTCACCACACCTCCTCACGTGCTGGGCAGCTCTGCTGCTGCAGGCCTGGGTTCTCTCCTGTTTGCCTCCTACTGGACCCGGAGGCCTCACCTGCAGTGTGGTGCTTCCACCTCCAGCCTCCCCTGAGCTGGACTTGCACTATCCACAGTTCCGTTCCCTGCAGCCGTCACGACCCCGGTGAGCTCATGCCTCCAATAAGTACTGATCCCTCCCAAGAGACTGGCTCTGGGCAGAAGCAGAATAAATGCCGGGCCATTAGCTGCAGGACACAGCCCTGCGCTCAGAGCCTGTGGTCTGGCTGCCAAACCCCTCGAGGCGCTCTGCCCTGGGAGAGGCCAATTCAGATGCTGCTGACCCAGGGACAGACAGGAGGAGGCTAAGTTGGTGGGGCAGGAAGTGCCTCCTGGGGACCTCTGAGCAGAGACCTGATGGGAAATCAGGTGTTGGTCAGGTGACGAAGGTCCAAGAGCACAGCATACCCGACACACAAAACGGCAACCAAACAAAACGACTGATTTCAGCCAAACCACACAGGCCTCAGCTCTGCAGGCTCACTCCTGAGGCCCCAGCAGTGGACAGAATTCACATCCGAGTGACCACCACAGTTTGCTGAGGTATGGGAGTGGCAAACGATTTCTGTAAACAGAGGGTAAACAGTGTAGGTTTTGCCATCACCTGGTCACCTGGTCACCACTGCCACTACTCAGCTCTGCCGTCTGTAGCAGGAAAGCAAATGCAGACGGTAAGCAAATGAACTGCCATGGCCGTCTCCCTGTAAAACCTTCAAAACCAGGCAGTGGCTGTGTGTGCCTGAGTTCTGCTATTGCAGTACAAAGCTGACCCTGGAAGATGCGGTTTTGAGCTGTGCAGGTGCACTTATACACGGATTATTTTCAATGACAGGTGCAGGTGCACTTATACACGGGTTCTTTTCAATGACAGGTGCAGGTGCACTTATACACGGGTTCTTTTCAATGAGAGAGAGTGAACCCCACACACGTGCTGGACTGACTTTCTGTGTCCTCGTGCTCCACAGGGCTGGCTACGGGGCGCGAGTACACACAGATTTGGGTGCATCAGGGCACTGGAGCTGGACTGACTTTCAGTGTCCTCATGCTCTGCAGGGCTGGCTACGAGGCTGGAGTGCGCACGGATTTGGGTGCATGCAGGGGCGCTGGAACCAATCCCCCCAGATGCCGAGGGGCGACTGCAGTCATCACTCATTCTCCTGCTCTTTCCAAACAAAAATCTGATTATTTCACTCCTCCGCTTACGCCCCTTCAATGACTCCTCACTGCTCTCAGGCTAAAGCCCAAGCTCCCTCGTGCGACTCTGCTGCTCACCACACGCTCTGACCACATGGCCCTGCTCATGCTCAGAGGCCCCCATACATGTGGTTCCTTCTGCTTGAGCAACCCTCCCCTCCAGCCCACCTCTGCCAAGAACGTGGCACACTCTTCTACATGCTGCTAGACGACCACCTGCCAACCCTGCCGTGAGAACAGCACACTCTCCACACACTGCTAGAAGACGGCCTGCCACTTGCAGCAGATCTAAAAGACGCACATTCTGGCTGGGTGCGGGAGCTCACGCTTGCAATCCCAGCACGTGGGGAGGCTGAGGCAGGTGGATCACCTGAGGCCAGGAGCTCAAGTCCAGCCTGGCCAGCATGGTGAAACCCCATCTGAGCCGGGCGTGGGGGCGGCACCTGTAATCCCAGTTACTCAGGAGGCTGAGGCAGAAGAATCGCTTGAATCCGGGTGGCAGAGGTTGCAGTGAGTCGAGATCACACCAACTGCACGCCAGCCTGAGCCACAGAGCGAGACTCCATCTCAAAAAAGAAAAAAAACGGAATAGGCACATTCTGAGTGACACTGACACAGGCTTCCCTTTCAAGAATCATCCCAAGAAAACAGACATGAAAGCAGAGTTTGGGAAAGAGTCACTGCAGTGTTATTTATAGTAAGAAAAAGTCAAAACAATAAATGTCCACCAATAAGGGTAGTGACAAAGAAACTATCCTAAAATGACAAGAAGATGAGATAGATGCAGACGCAGGGACATGTGAAGCGCTCCACACAACACTGTAAGTGAAAAAAGCTTGGCCGGGCGCGGTGGCTCATGCCTGTAATCCCAGCACTTTGGAGGCGCATCACCCGAGATCAGGAGTTTGAGACCAGCCTGGCCAACACGGTGAAATCCCGTCTCTACTAAAAACACAAAAAATTAGCTGGGTGTGGTAGTGTGTGCCTATAATGCCAGCCACACGGGAGGCTGAGGCAGGAGAATCAGTGGAACTTGGGACGTGGAGGCTGCAGTGAGCCGAGATTGCACCACTGCACTCCAGCCTGTGACAGAGTGAAACTCCATCTCAAAAAAAAAAAAAAGAAGAAGAAAAAAGCTGACGCTGCAACAGTATGCGTAGCATAATCGCATTAATGCAAAATATATATACCTACACATGCATTTCTAATGTATGAACGGGATTTTGGAAAGCTTTCCACTTTCTAAGTTGAATATCCCTAAGCTGAATGTCCTTAATCAGATATCTGAAGTCCTAAACTTTTTGAGCACCAATAAGACACTCAAAAAATACCCACTGCAGCATTTCAGAATTTTGAATCAGACACGCTCAATTGGTAATTATAATGCAAACATTCTAAAATCTGAAAAAATTCAAAATCTAAACACTCTAGTCCCAATCATTTCAGATACTCAATCTGTACTTAAGTTGTACAAGAACGAGAATTTATTAGTTTTAAAAAACGATTTTTGGATTTGAGGGAAAGAAATCAAACCTGAATAGGCTTGCAAGAACTAAAAATCACGAGCATCTTTTAAGTCTTATTTCTGAGACATATTTAATTTGAATACATTCAAGAAGGGTCATAGATACCAAAGTGTCACTAAGTGTCCCATCCTGGAAACCAGGAAATACGTCTTCTTATACCTTGGGAGCCTAATTAACTACAGTCATGTCCCAGATAATAACTTTTGTTTTGTTTTGAGACGCAGTTTCACTCACTTCTCAGGCTGGAGTGCAATGGCGCCATCTCGGCTCACCGCAATCTCCGCCTCCCAGGTTCAAGTGATTCTCCTGTCTCAGCCTCCTGAGTAGATGGGATTACAGGTGCATGCCACCATGCCCGGCTAATTTTTGTATTTTTAATAGAGACGAGGTTTCTCCATGTTGGCCAGGCTGGGCTCGAGTTCCTGACCTCATCTGCCTGCCTCAGCCTCCCAAAGTGCTGGGATTACAGGTGAACCACCACGTCCGGCCTGATAATAACGTTTTGTTCAACAGATGCATATACGGTAGTAGTCTCATAAGACTAAAATATCCTATTTTTACTGCACCTTTTCTATGTTTAGATAGATAAATACTTTTACCATTGTGTTACCACTGCCTATAGCATTCAGTTCAGTGGCACGCTGTTCAGGTTTCCAGCCTGGGAGCAACAGGCTGCACCATGTAGCCTAGGTACGTAGTAGGCTATACCACCAGGTTTGTTTAAGCATACTCCATGATGTTTGCAAGATGATGGAATTGTCTAATGACACATTTCTCAGACTGTATCCGTGTTGCTAAGGGACACGACTGTGCTGTGTTATAAAAATGAGCCACTGTTATCACACCAAAGACAGCATTTCTTCTCCTCCTCAGCCGTGGCACACAGCACACTAGCACGGAGTCAGGCTTCTTAAGGTACAAGAAGAAACACCAAAAGAAGCTCAGAACATACTCACCTGGTATCTTCCAGTGTCACCTGACCTGATTTTTCATCCACTACAATTTTACAGTGATCTCCAGAGACCAGTTTATTGCCGGGGAACGACAGGTCGCAACCTACAAAAGACAGGGTGGGATGACATGGAATATGACCGTGGGAACTGTGAACCCTAATGCCCTTTGCTTTACCAAAGTATGTGGTTCAAACTCAGGATCCCCCTTGTACATATGTAAGAAAAACACTTAACCAAGACAGTTATGAAAAAAAAATTTTTTCTTTTTTTTTTTTAGGCAGAGTCTTGCTTTGTTGCCCAGGCTGGAGTGCAGTGGCGCAATCTCAGCTCACTACAAGCTCCACCTCCCGGGTTCACACCATTCTCCTGCCTCAGCCTCCCAAGTAGCTG